AGTTGCTCAGTCATGTCTGACTCTTTGCGACCCCAGGGACTGTAGCCTGCCAGGCTCCTCCATCCATGAGATTTCCCAGGTAGGAATACTGGAATGGATTGCTATTTCCATCTCCAGGGGATCTTCCTGACCCAGGGACTAAACCCAGGTCTCCCATGTTGCAGGCAGACTCTTTACCATCTGGACCACCAGGGAATCCAGTGAAGAAAGTTTGTTTCCTCTGACTTAAGAGAAAGAAATAAAAGTACTAGCAAATGCATAAAATCCAATTTCAACGAACTTCCAACTTTTTCTAAGTCCAGACAACAACTATTTAAGTCATATTTAACCCAACTAATTCATAATGCTTCAAAAGAATTTACCCACATTTTTAGAACTGGTCTGAAGGGAAACATACACTATGCTTGAAATGAAGAGTTCCTAAGAAATGGTTCTAGTAGCCTAGATTTCTGGCTCCTTTCCTGATTCTACAAAAGGATTTTTATATTTAACATTTCACAGATGAAAAGAAAAAAAGCAAAACAAAGGTCACTGTAAAAGTGCCCCAATCCTCTATCGAGAGGCAATCTGAAACATACTAGCTTTCGCATAGAATTAAGTTTATACTTTAAGTGAGATGATGAAAAACATTTGAAATGGCAGGAAAACAATGGTCAATTTTGGGTGATCAACCAAAAAAAAAGCATGACATGATTAGCGTTGGTCTGCTGGAGTTTAATATTGAGTTGATCATTACATCCATAAGTAAAGTACAAGAACATGTAGGACAGTTAAGAGTTCTCAGCATGACTTCTAACTCTGCTGGTCAACAGGACAGGCAGAAGTGCCTTTACTAATGCTCATAAATGCACAGCAGCATCTGAAGTACACCAAACATACTTCAGACAAAATGCAACTGGTGAAGTGAGAAGTTTCCCTAACCACACTGACTGTACAGCTATGGGTCTCAAAGGGTCCTTTTCCTCTCTTCCACACCAGCAGCAGTCACAAGCCACATGGGGGAACTCTCATTAGACAAGACACACTCGCCCACCTTCTTCCTACCCAGCCAACAGGGTACCAAGTCCTCCAAGTGGTTGTGATTTGAGGGCACTGCTGTGGAAGAGACTAGAGAGGTTTTGAGGGAGAAGCAGGCACAAGACGCCCAATTCGTTAGGCCAGTTCCATTCTGGTTGACCCAATCTCCACTTCCCACTGCCTGTCCTTTTTAGCCGGCAGCCCAAAGAGCAGGACCCTGTTCAAAGTATACTTTCAAAAGGTCTTTAGAGATAGGTCTAATGGAAAAACCATCTATTTTTCATATGTTACCATGGAACATGAAGCATCATTTACTCCTATAAGAAAAGTCCTCTTTGCAAGGGACACTGAGTATTTGCAGAAAGATTTTCACTTTATCCTAGGAAACCAAATTTTGGAAAAGTAAATATAGGAAACTCAGCCTCTAAGTCTTCCATATACACCTTTACAGCCCTTGTTTAAAGTGAACTTTCCCTAATTATGACTGTCCAATAAGGAAAACATGTGTCCTGGGCAAAGCTCCACTGTTCACTCTGAAAGACATCATTTCTATGTAATGGAGAAGAGAACCAGCTTACTTCATGCCCCCTGCTGGTCCCTCTGCCCCAAATCCACTGGGAAGCTGACTCGCTTCCTCTCTCCCCATCCTTCATGGTATTTTGTGTCCGGGAACATGCTTCTTTAGTCTACGACGCTAACAGTTGAACACAACTGAGCAACTTCACTTTCACTTTTTACTTTCATGCATTGGAGAAGGAAATGGCAACCCACTCCAGTGTTCTTGCCTGGAGAATCCCAGGGACGGCAGAGCCTGGTGGGCTGCCGTCTATGGGGTCACACAGAGTCAGACACGACTGAAGCTACTTAGCAGCAGCAGCAGCAGCAGTCTTACTTCTGGGAGCTGCCATAAAAGTAATAATGCTTATTTCTGGATTATAAGATATATTACAAAATCAATGTCATTTTGTGTGTAGCCCTTTATTTTTAAAGTTTATAAGTAGCTTCCATATTTACCATCTCATTTGATTCTCATAACAACCCATTGAGTAGAGGTGTGTAGAGTTTCCACTTTACAGATAAGGAAACTAGAACTTAGTGTGGACTTCAATAAACAACTGACCACTGAACAGTAAGGAGGAAATACCAATGCTCTGCATCAAAAACTAAAGAATTCACTAGATTCAAGAGAACTCCCAAACTTTCTTGAATTTGTCATCTGCCAGATGAGATTTGCTAAAATCTCTAAGGTTTTTAGTTTAGGTAGTATTTTCTGTCTTAGGAAGGGTGAGGAACTGGGAGATAGGTAAGACAAACTCTCAGTTACAGAATGGACATAACTTAAGATGACATCTGGAATTCTATGAAGTTCAAAGTGACAACGATGACGATTGATTAAATGCTTACTATGTGTCAAGCACCATTTGAGGTTCATTAATAATATTCAATGATCCTATTAACATTACTGTTCTCTAGATGAGGAAAACAAGGTACAAGCTAAGTAACTTGCCCAAAAGTACATATCGTGCTCCCTTGAGGACACCAGGAGGACCTGGGATTGAAGGAGACAAAACCCTATGCAGCTACTGAGGGAAACCTGACACGAGAGGGCAGCCACCACAGGAACCCAGATTAAGTTCCCAATGTTACACTTAATCAAGTCTCCACACTTTCTCCACCAAAACACCAATCTAGTAATCAGAAGAATCAACAGGGAATCCTAACAGTTCCTTCTTAGATTGTCCCCACGGACGTGGGGGAAGAAGGGGAAAGACCTCATTTTTCTAGATCTTGATTACTGACAGAACACTGGCTGATTCACTTAGCACTGCCTTGAACTAATTTAAGAAAAATTAGTGAGGAAAGCAACTCTGGAGGAAATACGCAGAATAAAGATGCATGTGGCATTGATGGGTATTCAGCAATCTAGTGGAAAGTGAGGTGGGAGGCAGAAATTGCAGTCAATGCACAGAACTAAAATATATATATATATGGAGGAATCCTCACTGGTGTAAATTACTCTTGCCTTCTTTTTCCTCTACTTTTTTCAACTGCTCATTGCTTGGAACTGTATAAGCCAGCTTTTACAAATTGATCAGTCTTTGTAAGTTTATACACTCTTTTGTTAAGGAAAGAAACAAAGATTAAGCTGAACTCAGGCAAAAGAGAAAAATTCCATGATGAACGAATGCAGTCTTCATGGGCAAGTATCCTATGTTGGGGGACAGGAGCAGCTTTACAAAGCTTCCTCGAATTTGCCTACTTGTATTGTTTCTTGTTTCACTGTTCACTGAATAACCTGAAACTGCCCTGAGATCCTGTGAATCCAGAAGAAAACCCTGTTTAAAGCAAGTTCCAGGGTATTCATCCACCTCTACTGGAGAAAAAGTCCCAATCCAGGAGAATGGGACTACAGTAACCACAGTAAGTTGACTTTTAGTATCAACATTCCTTCTATAATCATAATTCTGACCCAGCTACCTTAACTGAGGGCCTATGTGCTTCACTTCACCCTTCCATAAACTGGGGATGGTAATACCTTCTTCATCATCAGGTTGGTGTGAAAATGAAATGAGCCGATACATTTACAGTACTCTGAACAGTGCCTGGCACAGAGAAGGTGCTCAAATAGTGTTAGGTTATTAATATTACTTTCAGCATTTGCAAACAACATTATAATAGGGACCCGAATACAGGAGACTTCTACTGCATTGGTAATGTTTAACTGCTTTTAAAAAAATCTAAAATTAGAACTATCAATACAAAAATATAAAAAGGCTTGGGAAAAGGGGGAAAAAAAAAAGCCACTCGGAGTCATGCCACCTGTTGGTGAGTTTCAGGTGAGGGTACACCCCGGAGCTGCTGTGGAATCCGGTTCCACGGCTGCCCCGTATTTCCCTTAGATGATGCCTCCGCTTCTTAATCAGCGTTTCATGGGCAGGATTACGGGCGGCCCGTGAACCCCCTGAAACTGTACACGGAATTGGGTGGGGCTGAGGCTCTGGGCATTTGGGGAGAGGGGGGAAGGGGAAGGGTTCCATAGCTTTTCTCAAGCTCTAATAAATCATCCTGTAGCAAACAACTTGCTTCCCAGAGGAGACAGTGACCCAACAATTCACTTCACGGAAGGTAGGTAATGACCAGGACACCTGGGCTGTTAATCTGTTATCTCAACACCAGAGAGACCCGGCGCCGCAAGGGGCAAGAGCCGGCCGGGCAGTGACCTTCACCTTTGAAAAACTCACCGGCTCCCCAGACCCGGCCCAGGTTCGCCGGGCTTACCTTCCCCTCCCTTCCCCCATCCCTCGTTCTCTTCCAGGAACAAACTCAAAGGAAACTGGCAGCACTCCGTCTAGGGTTTCACTCCTGCCCTCGGCTCCCAGAGAAGTTAATCAAAAGAACAATTAATCCGCACAAAAATCCAAAACCCACCCCAAAGCTCCAGAACTCGCAAAGTTAGAAGATCCAGGCGCCGCTGCTGATGGTGAACATCTGCGGGTCGCGGGCTCAAGGGTAGGCAGAGAGCACGAAAAGGAAGCAGCCAAGGTCTGGCCGGAGGGTCGGACCCCGGCCACCCTCTCCGAATCTACGCTCTTAATACGCCGGCGAAGACTGGTTTGGAAGCAGCCAGGTAAGCAGGTAGGTGTTGGCAAGAGTACGAGCCGCGGCGGATTAAAGTTCAAGCGCGTTCGCACACCGCTCCCCCTTCCCCGGCGGGCGTTCTCACGCGCGGCCCGCGGCCACTTCCCGGGGACCGGCTGAGCGCGCGACCGGCCCCCTCTCTGGGACAGGCTCCCCAAATCCCCAGTAGGCACAAGTGATTCCCCTTGCCTCCTCGCTTGCAAGCCTCGAAAAGCATTCGCCTCCCTCTCCTCTTCTACGCGAGCGCAGAACACCCCCGAGACTGAGAAACGGAGGGGACGAGGGGAAAGCAGGGTGTCCCGGAGGGCAGGTGGCGCCGGGCGCGCCACAGGCAGCGTACGTACCCAGCGCGAAGACGGCGAGCTGTCCAGCCGAGGTGACCATTTTACGGGCGGCGGGCGGCAGGCGCTCCAGCCTCCTGCCCTACCTGCGGTGCCCGAGTGGCGAAGCGGCGCCGCGGTGCGGGGGAAAAAGGCGCCGGCGAGGCAGGGCCAGCCCCCGGCGCGGGCGGGCGGAGGGAGGACCGCGCGCCTCTGCTGGCACTCGCCCCGCCGCGCCGCCGGCCGGGCGGAAATGGGAAGGCGGTTACCGTCACCTCCGCCACTCTGCGACCGGGCGCGGCGGACCACCCTCCCGCCCCGGTGGGGGTGCCCCCCTGAGGGCACGGGGTGGGGTGGGGCTGGGGCGGGGACGCGGCGCGCACCGTGCGGGGCGCGGGCGGCGGGGCGGGGCGGCGCGGGAATCTCGGAGCCCGCGGAGCTAGCCGGGCATCCAGGCCGAGGAAAAGGCAGGAAGCGCCCGATTTCAGACACCACCCTCAGACTAGCCGCTCAGATCCGAGCCCGAGCGGCCGGGCGCAGTGGCCGCTCCCAGGATCTCGGCGCAGGAGAGGAGCCACCCCGGCGTCTGTCATTTGCGCCGACGGCCGCTGCCGAGGGCTCTCCTGGGCAAAGAACTGGGACGCGGCCCGGAAGGGGACCTGCGAGCTTCGCCTGCCCTTGCCAAGACATGGCTCAGGGAAAGTGCTCCCCACAATCGAACAAATTCAACCCGATTCCCCACCTGCGCCCCCATCCGAGAGAACACTGGATTCTCCGGATTCCTCCCGCCTGGAGCGCGGCCACCCGAAGTTCTCAGGCCGACACTTTGTGAAGATCAGTAGGCCTTCGTACACCTGGTCTGGTGCTGATGATGAAGATGGGTATTCCATCACCACCAGTACCCCAGACCACCCCACCCCATCTTGCCACAGTCAGCTGAGACCAAGAACAAGGTAGCATGCAGCCACGTGTCTGAGAGAGGGGTGAATGGGTTGGAGCTACCTGGATGGTTTTTTCAAGGATTTGTGGCCTTTAGCTGGCCCCTGGTGCTGGAATTTGGAGAAGTTAGGGGGGCAGAGGGAAGACTTTCTGGGTAGAGAAAGGAAGAATCATAGGTTCCCTGGGGGCCGTGCATAGGCGACAGTGTGCTCCAGAGAGGCAGTGATCAGTGTATTCTCCAGATGCCCCCAGCTCAGGGATTAGTTCAGTTCAGTCACTCAGTCATATCTGACTCTGCGACCCCATGGACTGCAGCACGCCAGGCCTCCCTGTCCATCACCAACTCCCGGAGTTTACTCAAACTCATGTCCATTGAGTCGGTGATGCCATTCAACCACCTCATCCTCTGTGGTCCGCTTCTCCTCCCGCCCTCAATCTTTCCCAGCATCAGGGTCTTTTCACATGAGTCAGTTCTTCCCATCAGGTGGCTAAAGTGTTGGAGTTTCAGCTTCAACATCAGTTCTTCCAATGAATATTCAGGACTGATCTCCTTTAGGATGGACTGGTTGAATCTCCTTGCAGTCCAAGGGACTCTCAAGAGTCTTCTCCAACACCACAGTTCAAAAGCATCAGTTCTTTGACTTTCTTTATAGTCCAACTCTCACATCCATACATGACCACTGGAAAAACCATAGCCTTGACTAGACGGACCTTTGTTGACAAAGTAATGTCTCTGCTTTTTAATATGCTATCTAGGTTGGTCATAACTTTCCTTCCAAGGAGTAAGCGTCTTTTAATTTCATGGCTGCAATCACCATCTGCAGTGATTTTGGAGCCCCCAAAAATAAAGTCTGACACTGTTTCCACTGTTCTCCCATCTATTTGCCATGAAGTGATGGGACTGGATGCCATGATCTTAGTTTTCTGAATGTTGAGCTTTAAGCCAACTTTTTCACTCTCCTCTTTCACTTTCATCAAGAAGCTCTTTAGTTCTTCACTTTCTGCCATAAAGGTGGTGTCATCTGCATATCCAATCCCATTATCCTACCTCCTTAGGGTAGACCCACTCTTCTTGAAGGGGAAGAGGGCAAAATCGCTTGTCATTTCCTTGGCCCAAGGCTCAGACTCTCAGAGTTGATGTTTAAGTTTATTTCATAGGAGATAAGGGGCCTAGTTTCAAATAGGAAGCAGCATGTCACTGGCCTCAACGTTTGAGCAGGAAATACCAGTGTAGAAAAGGATTTTTGGAAACAGTGTAAATTTACTTTGAGAAACCATTCCTTGTAATTTGTCAAAGGGTACTTTGCTGCTTTTTCAACTCAGTGACCGGTGGTGAGGGTTTAAGTCCTGGGGTACATGTTTTCCTAAGTGCACATCTATGCATGCACAGGGCACACACACAGTCTTTAATGAGTGGTCCCTGACTCCCTTCAGCATCTGTGTCTTCATCCTTCAGACTGTTCTTACCTGTGCCTGTGGCTCTTCTGTCTCCTTCCTAGACTAGCCTGCCTTGGCTACAGGAGGAAAGAAATCAAGTGTTCTCCACATCCTTCTCCTGTTCTTCAGGACCCTCAACTCGGGCTGGAGAATTGAACTGTCACCTTGTTTCCTGCTGGGACACACACTTCAAGTTCAGTGTGACTGAGGGCCAGCTGTCCAAACTGACAAGAGTCAGGTTCAGCAGTTTCCCCTCCTCTGCCCCCTGCCTGCAGATAAAGTCATGGGTTGAGGGAAGTAGCAGCAGAGTCAAGACAATGAGCTTGTTCCCTTCATGACTGTAAAAATTTTAAATCAAGAGATAATTTGATACCTTGCAGCCTAAAGAGTACCCAAATCAAAGGACATTCTAATGCTTGGAAATCATTGATTCTTCCCCAATATTTTCAATAGCCAGTTCATATCTGTAGTTTTATCAACCTTCCAACTCATACAAGTCAAACAGATGATAATCAAGTGTTGAAGTTTTTTTCTAAATATCCACACCATTTTTTTGTAAGCTGAAAAATGATTTTTGAACATTTATAGGGCTAGGAGGAAACCAAATATACTAAAATATTAACACTCTGATTTGGGTATCTTATATATCCCATTTAATCTTTACAACAACCCTATGAGGTAAGAGTTCATCCTCTTTTTATGTGAAAATAATTGAGCTGGTTCCAGGGCCTCTGTATTGATTTCTGCGCTATGCTGCCTCAGTTCCTATGTTTTTAACAAGGATAATACTGAACTCATTGGGTTGATACAAGGACTAAATGGAAGAATTTATTTGCATGCTTAGCACATTATTTAACATCAACGAATATCACTGTTGTTTAAAGAAAAACTCTTAGTGAACATAACTTTCCCCTCTCTCAATGTTCTACCATTATCTTTTCTAAAAAAATAAAAAATGTCCATATCAGTTCCTTTGCTGGCACATATGTACACCTTCCTACAGGGGATAGTTTCAAAGTAAGTGAGAAGCTATGAATTTGTTTCTCAACCTGTGGTGTGAGAGGAATGAGAAAAAAAATTACGGAACATGATTTAGAGGAAGGATGTCATTTTTCCTAGAGGATGCTGTGATGTTTTTGTATTTTAGCAGTATGGAATATATGGCCCTCCAAGCTGATTGGAATTCCGGCAGTAGCCCCTGGAATCTTTGTAGATAGGCCACTGCGGTCCTTTACCTAACAGGTGCTATAGCTATCTCCCATGGCCACTGAAGGTCCCATTTCTCTGTGTGTGGAGCCTGAGCAGTGTGTGGCCTTCCTGCTAGGATGATGTCTGTGCTGCCTCTGCACACTTGACTCGGCTGGCCTTGGGCTCAAGGATAATCCCTTCTGTCATGAGCCAGTCACAGCCTCTCCTCCCCATGCACACAGGAGAGCCACAGAACGTCCTACTCAGAGGCCAGTGCCGTCCACTGTCAGTTTTCCCTTTCGTTTCTTCTACCTGCTTATTATAGAGTATGTTTAAAGAGTCTCCTTCTTCACTGTAATCCGCCTCCCCCTCCTTCCGGATTCGTTTGTGGACGTGATTGTGGGGCCACAAGCACCAGGGTCTTCCCTGAATGATTCAGGCCAGCAGAGCCCGCTGTTCAGATTGGCGATTACCCAGACATTGGTGAGTAAACAGCCCAGACATTCTCAGGGAGGAAGCACAGTCATGGGCCACTGCCTTGAAGGAATCACAGTCCCTGCAGACGGGCCTCAGAGAGCAGTGAGCAGAGCCGGCTTCGGGTGGCTGCAGGACCTGCCTTGGTGCCAGCAGCGGACAGGGGGACCCAAAGGGGAAAAGAAAAGGGTGCCTGACTCAGTACGATGTCAAAGATCTGATGTCATCTGTGTATGAGAGAGAGAGGTTCTGTAAGGCACCCTGGAGCGCTGTGTTTGGGCAGAATGAGATTTTAATGTGTTAAGGGATTTAGGAAAAGAAATCTAATCCAAAGTAAGGTATTGTTCCAGTATCAGCCCCCTGTGAAACCTCAGCTATTAGTGTATTCCTTATCTCCAGCCAAAAGAAAAAGCTAGAAACCTTATGCGGAGTCCATTTTTACAGTTTTCATCACCAGTGTAATGGGGGAGGTAAGAAGCCATCAGAGACGTTTGCTTTGTTCTCAACTACCTGAGTGGTTTTCATGCTGGTGTTGGCCAAAGATTGGTCTGACCTTCTGCTTAACATCTTCCATTCCCCTGCTCTCAGATCTACCTTGGGAATTCACATTCAAGTTGCATATTCAGCTTGAATCCTTCCTTCCCAAAGGATATCACAGGATGGCTCTAAAACCCAATACTGAAGTCTGGAGGTTGATGCTTCCATGGGTGGTCCAAGCAGCTCCAAGATGTCAAGGTACTAGTTAGAGTATCTAAGACTCAGAGCTACCTGATGGCCGCAGCAACTAAAATAATCTCCTCATTCAGTCCACAAGCTGCCTAACCAGCGTTCAGGAGAGGTACCCAGAGTATCAGCACAGCTGATGTCAAACCATTCCATTAATCACACCTGAAGGCAGAAGAGCTACACATTTATAGCCAGAGCACGCTAAAGACTGGGAAGATTGGCCCCCAAATCCTCAGGAGTGCCGGGGGAAAATTCTAAATCAAATGACCAGAAATCCTTAGGCAGGTGAAACTAATGATG